GTCCTAATAAAACTGTAGATTTGTATGAATGACGCTTACACGAACAAACAGACACTGCATTATATATTGTTGCGTGCGTACGGGTTCGTAATAATTTGAATGCACAAGTCAGATAAAAGATTAATAAAATTTATTCTTATCAAATGGAATATAACAGAACGCTTAAATTTTCCTCATAGATATTCATACAAGTGTTCAAAATATCACGCATTAAAATCATTTATATTTCAAACTACTAAAAACGTCAAAATAGTACAATGCAGTGCAAAGCGTTATCGAAAGAGGAAGCTAATTGAGATATCTCAGTTCACGCGGAACTAAATAAATCGCAATAACAGTAACTAAGCAACTAACTGAACAACTGAACTGAGATACTGACATTACTTTACTATGCCGAGATTAGTTAGCTCACATGCTAGCTGTGTTCCGACTCGGTTTAAGTGCTTGTGCCTTAATGGCGCTAAAAGTTAAAACAATCATGACATAAAATTACATTAGAATATCATACATTAGGGAAAAAAGAAAGAAAAGAAAACAGTCACAAGTTAATTACAGTCATCGTACAGTAGGCTGGAAATTTAAAAGTCCAGCTGTTCCATTAAGTCAAGAAACTGCAGAACACGCTGAAGAATTTCCTCGTGCGTAATCAGGCTTTTCAGGGCATTAATTAGCAAATTTAAAGACTTTGCCAAAGAAGTTAGCAAAATGATCCTGAAGGCTTTCTACAGGGAATCCAGTTTTCGAGATGGAATCAGCAGTCTTAGAAGTAGCACAGCATTCACAGCAACAGAAACATCAAGTGGATTTTTTCCTGGGCTTGGAAAACTTCTTGTTGGTATCATACGGCAGCTCAGGAGCAGTCTTGCCAGCATTCTTTTTATTACGAATGTTGGGGTAAAATTCGCAACCTTTTGAATGAAGCAATGTGAGATTTTTTACATCTCACACAGGTAGACTCTTTTGGTTCAGTGCAAGTGTAGGTAAGATGATCCAACTCACACTTGAGACATCTCGGATGAACTGAGACTCCAGCTTCCACTGTATGTCTAGATTGGCATGAAAATTCCATGCTGTGTTCCGGCTGTCAGAACTTCGTGCTATAGAAGGGCCCTTCAAGTAGAATGAGTGCAGCATAATAAATCCAGAAGGACAGGATACAAGATTAATGAACTGAGATCTTTGATCGTATCTTTATTTCTGGACTCAACCACCAAGAGTTTTTTTCAGTATCATGAAAATTACAACCATTATACATTTTATAGGTTTAAAATTAATAAAGATGTACATTAGTACATCAACACACAGGGTCGAAAGTCGTACGAAGGATTTTCTGCGTCTTGCGCTATGCTGGCGTGAACGCAGTCAGAGAAGAGTCGTGTGATCTTGAGAAGGCACCTGGTTGGTCAGCTTCGAAGTAAGCAAAGTTCATTAAAAGCTCTTAATTAAGCTAAGAAATTGCTTAATTTGATATAAATTTTTGTATTTTGCTTTAAAACATAGTCCATAGGAAAAATGGCTTATGAGAAGCAATACAGTGCAGTTAGAGCTCGAAGCATAAAATCATAAAATAAACTAAGTCTAAAACAAGTGAAATCTTAAGTAAATAAAACTATTTTTGAGATTTCTGGAAAGCAAAAGCAGTGGAATTATGGTTATACCCAAGATAGTGTTCAATTACGTTTATTCGATTTAAATACAAATTACCGAGACATCCATTTATTCAATGTTAAATGCACGTGCTCCTGTATTTTTACTTTTCCGGCAAAGCTTTCTCTTAAAATTTGTCTCGCGCTGCATTGCTCGGGGAAATAAAACAGTTTTAATTATAATTCTACTAAAATTAGCTATCTAAATACAAAATTCATAATAATACATATAGATGATTTTTATGAATCCGATCAGTGTTATGTCGCAGTTGCAGCTAGTAATTTATAATAGCTAAGATGAATCTGCGTTATTTACTTCTAAATCGCTTAGTCTGATAATTAATAACTGCTTTTAATACTGCTTATCATGCTTAATGGTTAATTCAGCCCTGAGACGCTGACTTTTCTCTAGTTTCTAAGTCTATGTGTGCAAAATTTCATTAAGATAGGAATAAAACTGTAGATTTCTATAAATTACAAGCCCATGGACACTTTTCTTTATTTATATAGAAAATGATTTTACTAAATGGAGCTCATGTAATTTCGTGGATCCGGTTAGTAATTAATAATAACATGTAAATCTGCGCTATTGCTTAAAAATCGACTAAAAATGAGGAATCTTAAGAACTGGTAAGCGAATAATCGCTTAGTTTAGTAGACTGAGAGCAGAACTCGACAAAGGTTAAATACCTTTTATTATTCAAAATAAATTTAACAGCCGACTCCTTCTTGGAGTTTACAGCAAAGCCTCCACTCGGGCTTGAACTCAGGATACTAAATAAAACAAGTAAAAGATACTGAAGCTTCCAGAGCTACTGGAGCTGGTCCCTTATTGGTAACTAATGGCGAAGCTATCAAGGGCCTAAAGTACGGCCGATCGTAAAAATAGCTTAGAGAGAGTAGCCTAAAAGGCGAACGCGCGCTCCTCAGAATCTCTGGCTCTCTAACACGTCCTAAAAATTCTAAAAACACGTCCTGGATGGAAATCGTAAATTGAAATTATAAATTGAAAGTAAAGTAAAGTGGCTTAAATTAAACATGAATTCTTAAAAACTTAGAATAAATCTTACAATCTGTTAATTTATAAAATTATTTTATAACAGAAGAAATTTGACTTATGCTTTACTGATTTCTATAAATTACAAACACATGGACACTTTTCTTTAATTATATAGTAGATGATTTTAATGAATGGAGCTAGTGTAATTTCGTGGATCTAGTTAGTAATTAATAATAACCCATAAATCTGCGTTATTGGTTTTAATCTTTCTTTCAAATTTCAAATTTACTCTGTTATAAGTTATCGATTAGTTCGCTAACTTATAACAGAGTAAATTTGAAAGAAAATCAAATATCTTATGCTTTACTGAAAAAACTATCAAGTAGAAGATAAAATATTTTAATTCGGGAAGTGGCAACATATTCCTTTAAATCTCTGAGTTTATTAAATTCGAAATGACAAATATATTGAGAGTGGCAACGAACTTTTTTTATATAGTAGAGTTGCGTGATTAAATTTGAAACATAAATATCTTACACTCTGCACAGTGGCAACACAAAGCTTTGCCGATGACACATTGATCTTACCTATTTATTATATATATATATAATAAATACTTAACTGTTACTTAGTGACACAAATTTAACGTCTTTGTTATCTTTTTCTAGAACCGTTTTAAAAATGCTGGTATTGATGATTTGATTAAATTCTCCCCTATAATATGACTTTTCCCAGATTTAGCGATGAGTAATTAATTTTGATAACTAGCTTCCAAGAGAACAATTAACAGTTGCATTATGACCAGTAAATAGAGACTTTAATGTTACTCTTTTTTTTTCAAAATTTTTCTTTAAAGTTTGAAAATAATTCAAATCTGAATTAATATGAAATAAATATAAGATCAGTTGAAAGCAGTTGCTGTTGCCATTCAAGGGAAGAATAATATACGTATTGTAGTTCCTACAGTAAAAAATAAAATGAATTCGTTGGCGACATAAAAGCTTATTTATTTATTATAGATATATAATAAATAGGTGCGCTATATATTATAGATACGAATGCTTAAATGCACATTATTCAATACGTATTGTTTCAACCGACTAGTGTCAAGAGTGCAAAAAATAAGGATAAATATTACAGCTCATGATACAAACGAGTGCGTGAGATAAACAGTTATTAAGCCAAACAGAAATTTAAAAAATTGGTTTCGATCAAATATTGGCTTCACTTTATCTTGATAGTATTTAATTAAAAAATCAAAATGTTTTTCAAGCTTTCAGTGTTCTCTGTTCAGCTGGTCACTCATTCATGTTGTAAAGGGAGAATTTAAGACACGTACCTCAATAATAATAATAATAATAATAATAATAATAATAATAAGTTATAATAATAAAAGTTTCATATTTTAACAGTCGCCCAAAGTGGTTTGTAAAAGTTCTTTACGCTCTTGGCTGAGGTCGCAATCTACCAGTCTACTGTTGAATTCACTCCTGCTTATCCTCCTTTTTTGGTCTTTTTAGCTTTATTATTAAGCGTCATTTTGCTGGCACTTACGCCATATACTATTCAGCAACAAAAGTATAAAATTGTTAAAAGCTGCATTGCAGCATGTGTTTAGAATTCGCGATGCAGTGTTTAATAAGTCTTGACATACATTTATATATTTTTTCACTCTTTTCTCAGTTCATTATATGAATATTCCTAACTTTTCATGTTTTTCTAATTTTATTTATTAAATATCAAGGTCTCTGCATTTACATAAAATTCAATTCAACAGCAAAATCACAAAAAGTTTAAAAACAGCATATCTTTGAATTTCCGATAGACAGACTTGCGCGCTGGAGATAAAAGTGTCTTATTTCGTATAGTGTTGCTACTGCTCGTTTTCAAATCTTTATTTGTTAATCAAAATTCATTAAAGCTTTACAAAAAATATGAGATAACTAACAAAACACATTCGAAATTCGAATTTCGGGCTTGCAGGTGCCCAAGTTCCGGTGGAAGATTACGTTATTCAGTATCAGATGACTCTAGGTACCGTTGTTTTTTCACAACGCAAGGAATATACATGCATATAAGCAAAAGCAGATTCTTTATTATTTAATATCTTTAAAAATAATACAGGACTATAATATTGGATGGCAACAGTTTGAAAACTGATACAGACGCAAAATCCCATTTCAAGACTAATAGCTACTTCTGGGATCATAATAATTAAAAAAAAAAGAAATTATTCTACTTATCGTGCAAAATCAACTGTAAATATTTATGTATAGCGTTCGCATTAATCGTTATCGTAAATTATTTGTAAACTTTCCAATGAATTTTTTTGGTTAGTATAATTTGTGGTTTCTTTAGGCTGTTTCTAAAAATTAAATGAAAAATATAAAATTTATTGACGAGTGTGAACTAAGAGGAATAATTATTTTGAAGTTCCTGGATTTGAATCATCTAAATACGTTTGTATGGGAGTTTTCAACCTAAAAGTAAATATGTGTCTTTCATGTCTTGATATTTTGCACTTAAACAGAATTTATTAAAATTGATCTTTTAAATGTATTATTGATTTAAGTTATTGCGAAAGCACTGCCATAATCAGTAACTAATGTGTTGCCTAAAAGTAGTGGTAATGCGTCAATAGTTCTGAAAACACTTCATTGTAACATTAACATTAACAATCTTTCAATTAATCGTCTGTCATATCTATCACTTCTGCCGGTTACTGGAAGGCTTTGTAAACCGTCAGCACTTCCAATTCTATTAATGCTCCACAGCGACCGCTTTAGAGCCCGAATAACATCCATATTCTGTAATGGATCCACTGTAATAATGCGATGGATTCCTCGCAGTGGTTCCTTCATTTTGGCGAAGAGAGAGTCGCAAGGAATTCTGTCGAATGTAGTATATAACGGCTGTTCCAGTACAGCCCTCGCTACCATCGTAGGAGATCCATGACAGCATTCGCATAATGACACCCCGCATTGTCATGGAGAAAGATGTGCGATTCATCACTAAGAAATGTTGCCTTTTTTTTCCGAGTGCTGGATGCAGAGGATGTGTCAAGTGACAACTCCCATCACCCCCCCATAACAATGCAAGTGCTGTTTGGAATCTACTACGACAGAGGTACTGGAATATATACCGTACTTACCTGATATAACTCTATGTGCGTATATCTTCGTTGGAATGAAATAACCGCTACGAAGGAGATACATCACATCATTACAGAACACTGGAGGTTATTCGTGTTCTAAAGAGCTGGAGCATCACTAGAAGTGGACGTGTTGTCTTGATGGCGTACGAAGCCTTACAGTAATTTGGCAGACTGTAATACATATGGCAGGAAGTTATATTGAGGGATTGAAAGTTTTTGTGCCTACGGTGACAAAGCATTGATGCATTTCTACTACTTTTTATCCATCCTATGTATCTATACATAGTAGTATGTTAAGAAGCTTGGCTTTTGTTTAAACTTCAGACATCCTTTAATAAAATGGAATGTTGATATGGCTATGTCAAGATAGTTAACACTGTGTTTTCAATTGAATGAAATCGTGATTAAAGTAGTTACATCCGCCCTAGCTTTAATTAAAAAATATTTTTTCCTTTTAGAATTTGAAACATTTACCTGCAATAAATTATTTCGAGATACAGGCTAACTAGTCGAAATTTTGTCCAATTCGCATTCACTTCCACTAATGTGAGGAATGTTTTAATCAAATTCAAGGTAGTCTAAACGTCTCTGAAGTTTTCCTTGCTCACAACTTGCAAGATGAGGAGCGTGGGATTTGTTGATTTGCCATTGCTAACATTCCATTAGTCCTTGTTACCAGTTTGCAGAAAGTAGACAAATGTTATCGCTAGTTAAAATTAGAAATCGCTAAACATAGTATGGCTATAATCGTTCGATTTTGGTTCTTGATCCGTGGTATGGCAGGATGAATGGGTAAACATGCATTCACTAAAATCTTAACAATGTTTAATTTATAATTTAAGCATTACAACGATTTAACTGATGAATTTCGGACGATGATATATATATATATATATCATATATATATATATCATATATATAATGATGAAATATCTATGCAATTATATAAATATATAAGTAATAATTCCGGGAGCATAGAAAAGAACTCAACTTACAGTCGTCGTGGGTGAGAGTGCAGGCTTACAGATGAAGACAACAAAACATTGACGAATTTTCCCGTTTTTTTTACCACGCATATAAAATCATCTCTATAGATATTTATCCAATCATAATGAAATTCGAGACATTACTATGATGCAATCATAACGAAATACGATAAATTGCTATTTACATCGCTTCTTAAAATTAAGACGCAGGCAGTTTAGACGGGGAAGCAAAGCGAGGAGCTATTAGCAAGGTAAAAGCTAGCAAAAGAAGTGACGTAATTAGCTGCCAGGGATATTTATACCAAATTTGATGTACAAGTACAGCTGATCTATGATTGGTTAGTTAGTAGCGTTACATAACGTAGAAAAATCTCGAATTTGGAGAACAGATGAGTTTAGGAAAGAACCAAATTTAGAATGTTAATTTTGAGGTTGCCAATTATTTTTTAAAGAAGCTACCGTATTTTGTTATATCATACGTATATATAATAAATACGGACGATGAAATATATATATATAAGGACCACATATAGAAGTCTTAAATGCTTGGAAGACATGTTCGTTTAGCATATATACATTTAGTATATATGCAACTTATGCATCTTTGAATAAGAAGAGCGGTAAATTTAATAAATGGTAACACACTAATTTAGAGGTGGTTTGTCGATTAAAATAAATGCATTTTAGAATATGTTTAGATATGGGTTACAATAGACAATTGCTAACATCACTTGCCCCCCCCCACAAGAAAAAAAAAAAAAAGGATGTTTGTAGAATCTTTGGGTTTCTATCAATATAAATCTTGTAAACTCAACAGTGCCTTTACGGAGAATCGCTGTTGAGATGTATCAGTTGCTAGTTAAATCGAACCACATCAAGAACAAAAGAGGCGACATACAGTTACCAACAAACTTCATAAAGTAGTATGTTGGCTTCTTTCTGATGGAGTGCTATAAATAGGACACTGAAAAAATTCTTTTTTTGAAGAATGATTGTTACAAGAGGAAGGGAATGCAAAGAAATTTTCTGTCTGAGCCTAAATTTTGACTGTATTGTACTGCAATATGTATCTTGAACGACGTATAAGACCCTGTATTTATAAATATAATCAATGTATACTAAATCGGCGAGGCGCCAGTGTGCCCCCTTCTTGACACCTGGGGCTGTTCTAGTAAATGGTGGACGTGGTGCTGTATTGATTAACCAGTATGGTAGAGGCACAGTGACCACGTCCCCCGTCACTTGTACTTGTATTGTACTGAGTTGAACCGCCTGTGACTAATTAGAAGCAGGAATTTCCATCTGCGGTTTTCTGCTTTTCTGCTTTTTGTAAGAAAAACTATAATAAAAATTTCAAGTTTATTCTAATTATACTTTTTATGCTAATTACAATGAAAGGAAGCAGATGATTAGATAATTACCTAGTAAAACCCATATTTTGTTCGAGTAAGTGTAACCTTAACAGAGCCACTGATAAGTCTCTTCGCAGAATTTTTCATGACCGTCATTTTAATCCGCATATTTACTGCAGCAATATTTATAATTTCATCAGATTCCTTAGTAGTAGGTACAAAACTCAAACACAACTCTAAACATCATCCTAAATATACTCATGAGATGCCATAATCGGTGAACGACGATGCCATTTCATGGCAATAAAATTCTTAGAATATATTTCATAGAAGCATTTTAGCCTTTTGGTTTTAAACAAATTAGGCAACCCAAACACTCATGGAATAAAATTAGCTAGATTAACAACATTAGATAATTCATATCAGTTGCAGTTAATTAGTTACTTTTATGTTTGCTACCACATATTTTTCTGGGGAAAGCGCTATGTGCTTGAAGTGGAAAGGAATAGAACAGGGCAAAAGTCATGTAACTAATTAATAATTTAAAAGTTGCAAACGAATTAAATTTATCCGTAATGATATCAAATTACCATTTACATACAGGAATCGAAGTTTATATTATTGAGTAATTAGGTGTTTCATATGTTAAGTTCATTTATTGTAAGAAGATTGAGATTAAAATTTAATCGATTTTGTTCTTACAGGTCAGTGCAATTCAGAAAACAGTTGTTCCTCTGAAGGCTTAGAAAGAGCCTGAGATGGTTAAAAAGCAGAAAAAAAAGAAAGGGAAGGGCAAGGGGACAAAGAAGAAAGTTAAGAAACCCTCTGAGAAAGATATAATGAAAACAAAGATTCAAGAGCTGGAGGAGGAGCTAGGTATTCGAGAAACTGAGCTTCAGCACCAAACAGAAGAGCTGAATCGGTGGCGAGCCCGTTGGGCTTCTGAAATAGAAAGCAAGATTGCCTGCGTTTCTCATCTGAAGCGGGTCTTGGAGCGTGAAACAAAACAATGTTCCAGCATGCAGAAGAAACTCCAACTGCAAAAAGACCTGAGGATGCTAATAGAGCACCGCGCTCTTAGTCAATTTGCCGATGCCAATAGGAATCGAGAAATGTTGAGGAGTGTTTTTCTGCAGCAGAAATCGGAGCTGGAAGGTAAAAAGGATTTTTCCTACTGTTTTAGAGAGTCAGGAGAAAACATTACTGTTCTGTCCGGGTTTGGGGTTCGATTTTATTGCCCTTTATAATATACACACTTTGGCGAGAATTCTGACGTTGAAGTCTTTGTTTAATATACTAATTACCACGTCAGACATATTTGGCTGATACTACAATCTTTCAAATCTATTCCTAATTTGGCTGATACTCTCAATTTTGGCCATATACCCTCCTCCAGGCGCTGTTGCTGATAATCTTCGGAAATGTGTTATTACTCAATAAAAGATAATATAATATATTATTATATTATCTTTGATAAATATCTAGCGACAATGTGAGAAAAAAATTATATTATTTCGGCTTCAGTTAGAACTATTCTTTTTGCCGTTATTTTTACCCATTTAATTTTTCCTAATACGAGGTGCGTTTAATAAGTTTCTGGCTTAATAGATTTGTACAAGATGTATGCCTAAATATGTCTTACTCAATTTTCTCTAGTTCACTTTGACTTCAAGGTACTTTGTATTTAGATTTATTCAACGAGGAATTCCAGCCAAAGAAAGTGTTTTGTCGCAGTCTTGAAATTTTTTCTTTAACAGCATCCTTTATATCTGCTTCCATTGTAACGTGATGAATCACGCAAGTGCAGTTTAAGTTTTTTTTTTAAATATTTCATTTCTTTCTCTTGAAGAGGGAGGAATGTCATTTGGATCCAGGATTGGTGAATATAATGGGGGGGGGCGAAAAGAATCTGAAAACTACAATCTGAAGAGCAGCTCGAAAAACAGAGACTTACGTGCAGACGTGCTGCCATAAAAACAAAGCATTTTTCTGTTGACTTTGCTGTAGTGTTTTTCTTTCATAATCTGTCACAGTTCGGTCAAACATTTGGCACAACTAATGCTTCCTACAATGGCGTTACGATGTAGAAATCATCAGTAAGGAGCATTCGCTCTTTATCGCAAAAGAATGGCTACCAAAATCTTCATTTTTCCTGCTCTTGTTCTGTTGTTGTTCATAAGCTGAACTCGCGCGTAAAGGAAGATTTACTGTACTTCCGCGGCATCCTCGTCTGTTTTCATTAGTTTAAAAATGATCTTCATCTATGATTATCAAAAACAGAACTGGAGAACAACCAACAGTTTTCTATATTTCTGGATCAGCCTCCGGTTCATCATACTTAATACATATACAACTTTCCATGAAAGATTTTTCTTCCTCCTGTACACTTACACATCACTTTTACTTCTACTGACAACACGCACCTTCCGAGTGTGGTCGGATTTTTGCATGAATCTAATGTCTTCGGTTTGTACATCACTTTTGCATGATGAAAGATTAGCTAGCTTTCCCTGTTCCCATATCTGCCCAAGCTATCATATGTTAACAATTTGCGTTATTTGTATATTAGATGTAGGTCGTTAAGAAATTTTAATTTTCGCATCGTTGTTACATATGAAATTAGTTTAATTTCTAACGATATACACATTTTAGTTCACGTTTGTGAAAATATGAACTGAAATAGAGCTTTAAATTTTTTTATATATGAAAGAAGTCAACGTAAAATATTTTGACGCAATATTCCGAGTTTAAAATTTAGAGAGGGAAGTGGTAAGAAAAGCCATATCTCAAACAAGGCCTTATCATTATCGGCCTTGCGGAAAGAAGCTATGAAGCCACCTTAATGATACTTTGATCAGCTCAATGTCACCATCACAATCCTACGGTTCCTTTGTCTGTTTTCGTTATAAAATATTTTCTCGCTCCTTTCCGTATGCCTTCGTAATGTAACTGGAAGCACACTCGACGAGTGTTCGGGAGGTCAGGATTTCGAATCCCGGCGAAGGATTCGAAATTCTACCTCATATACTGTAATTTGTACAAGCACGAAAATTTACACCCATTATTCCAAAATGAAATGTTAGATATAATTTCGAAACGAAAAATGATATGCAAAATCGATTATGCAAACTCGAAAGGAATAACGATTATGATATATGCAGGCTGAGAAGTAGTCTGTTTTGTGGTCTTTTTAGATAGCAATATTTTTAGTTCATTATTTATTTTATGGCATGCGTCAGATCAAAAAAACTATTTATTTATTCCAACATGAGCAGTTTGATCTCTCCTCCTCATCTAATTTTCACAAATTTATTATAGCATATTGCACTCTGAAATAACCATGTTTGAAAGCGACCACTATTTCTGAGAACGTACATAAGCATCGGTACTGAGCCTTACGTCAGTAAAGTTCAGTACATATGAACGAAGCCACCTTACTGAAGTCCAATGCAATCTGGATCCGTAGTGATAGTCTTAGGATTGCATTTTTTCTTATACCCAGTTTTCTTTTGGGATGGGAGAGATCTTATGAGACCGCATAAGCGGCTTGATTCCCTTCCTCACAGTACCTAGTTCTGTTTGACGGATGCTACGTCATGCCATTATGTGCAGGATTATAGCGAAATGGCACTTTTCCTTACCTAGGATAGAACTGGATTTTTTCATTTAGGCAAGAAACACAAAAGATATCTGTTATAAAACCGTCACTCTATTAAATGAGAAACCTTCTTTATTCCTTTTACAGGGCAGCCTGCCAGCATCAGAACATATAACCAACTTACCTACTAGGCAGCGGGATTTAGTAATTGCCAAATACCAGCCAATGATTACGATAGTATCTCAGGCAGGTATTTCTTGACAGATTAATATGTTACAGATTGATTACATATCAGGATACAGTACTGCGCTAAGGTAAAAAGCGAGTATAAAAATTATTCTGCAAATGCGAAAAATGCAATGTACAAATACAGACAGTGATTACATGATTGAAAGATTCAGAGCACTAGTAACAATGCATACAAAAAATAAAATAGTACATCTACAATTTAGTAATTCTTTTGCTGACAGTTATAGGAGTAATACACAAATTATGAATAATAGTGGTAAATAATATACTGATGTTTATAATAAGTATTGATTCTGACGACCAGAATCAAAAGATAGTTTCTGTAATAAAATCAAAATACGGTGTGTTCAATAAATGAAATATATGGGAAATAATAAACGGGTTATATGAGTAAATAATACTTAAATAATTGGTTCAAGTGCAAGAATATATTGGAATAAATGTGAGTATACATGCTCTATACTCACATTTATTAAGTGCAATAAACTCTAGCAAAATTCAGAGTAAACGGTAAGAAAGTCCCATACGTATTGTATTGCTTGCCAGTCCACGCTGGCTGTTTGACAGCCGTTATCAGTGTCATCTTTCTGTCAAGATACATTTCCAGCCGGTGGTTCACTGGGAAGGGGATTTCCGGCGTTCTGGCGTAAATAATTAGTCTTCACAGCGTTTATTCGGTGGTAGGTTCAGGCTCGGCAAGGACAGTTACTGGCGCTGTTTTGTTTGCCCCTAGATTATAGGGACGCTACAAGGTTAGATGTCGAAGTTTGTCCTTAAGGGTTTGGTTCTCCGTGGGAACAGTCTTTGACATTCAACTTCGTTCTTTTTGTTGGTGGCTGCTTGCCGGCCGCTTTGACTTGCGTTTCATAACCCCTGACTGTGTGCAATTTTGTCTCCCCTAGGATTGACCGGGAGTTTATACCTTCTTGGATCACCTCTAGGGGTTGGGGCCTCATAAATGTGTATGAGCTTCTCTAAGCCTGGGTCTGGGAGTCTCTTCTCCCTAGTGTACTGTGCTGTACTGTCAAGAGGCATTCAAACACAAAAATGTTCTTATGCCTCACTTCTCCTCGTTCACGTAAGTTACTGTGACGTTTTTTGAACCTGCTGAAATATCTAAGGAATGGTCTATGACCGATTAGAATGGATATAGAGTTGACTTAGTGACTTTTTAGGTTTGTACTATCGAGATCAGTAAGAAAGTTATACGTCCTGTAATCTTTGTAGCCCAGCCATCCTGCCATTTTCTAGCTGCTCATACCTTGCAATGTGCTTCAGCTCAGAAACTGGAAGTGGTACTATGATATTATGCATGCTGTGACTGCAGGATCAAGGTATGGAAACAGAGATTCTTGTATTCTCTCTTACTCTAAAATTAACTTCTCAGAAGGACTTTCGGCTTGTCAGGTTTTAAGCGCCCTCATGCCACGAAAACAATAATTCACAAACTTCCATGTCTTACCCGTAATTCGAGCCTAACCCCGACAGTGTGAGCAACCGTCAGTCTGAGTTGATTACTATACAAACTGAGGCCATCTTTCTGTGCCTTAAACATGAACAGCTAGGAAGGAGATATATCACTACGGATTGAGAGTAAATGTTTATGAATATTTACTAGTTTTATGCTTTATTCCGAATGAAACTCAATAATCAAATGATGTTTGACGTTTTTCGATATTCTTAGATATTAGAGATTAACAAAGTTTGTAAGATTTATAAAAAATTTATCTGATAATCATCATTGATTCTTGTATTCGTTTTATACTCTGGAAGGACAATGCTGTCGCTTCTCTGCATTCCATCACACCATCAATATTACGTCATTCTTAGTCCTAGAACTTACTGCACGCCCTCGGTATTAACTTCAGCTTTTCAACTCAGTTTATAAGAAGACAGAAATATGTTCTCGATACTTTAACCAACTTGTCCTGTCGATGATATGGAACACGTTAAAAAGAAAGCAGTGTAATACTAATGAAATCTATGTGTGACTGAAATATTTTTGATCGATAAATTAATTTACTGAGCTACATCAGCTGCGCAGATGTGACACCAAATATTTATTTTTAGGAATGATTAAAAAATAAATAATGTTAATCACTTAGCATTACCCAACTCCTTACCAAGTTATTAGACCTAATTCGATCATTTAATAGTTTACAGGATAATCAGAAGAGACTATTAACACTTTCGAAGCCAAAAGCGTGAAAAGCCAACTACGCCTTCGCCAAGTTTCGAACCACTCACCTTCCAGTTGCCATATGGACGTGTTAATTATTTACAACATGAGAATATACACGGAGGAATCCGGTAATTCTTTACATTTTTCCCTTTTAAAGGGCGGCGGTGGAGAAGTATGAGACCCTGTCGATCAAGCTCAGGTCAATTAAAATGTAGTTCCAAAACTAAAATATGATGAGTTATTGTACATCACACTTAAGTTCGGACGCTACTTTAGAGATTACTGGGATCTTCAGATTGAGAAACATGAAAAGTGAACTGTGCGTTCGAGACAGAGATTACCATTTGCTAGCTGGACATGCTAATCGCAGAAGCAGAAGCATGAAAAAACAAGAGTGGCCTCTCCGCAATAGAATTCCGGACCTCCCGATGCTAGTTGGACTTGCTTTGCAATTACACTCCGAAGATTAACGGGAAGAGAGGAGAAAATCCCTTACGTTATCCTCCACTTAAAGATTGAGAGGAGGGAACGTAGTCGCCAAATCCTGGTAGCGCTGAAGAATAGTCCACCATATTTTAATTCGGATGCCACATGTAATTTCCTTAGGTTTATTTCGCAGCAAAAAGCATAAAAAATAAGCAGGGCCTTTGCCGGGACTCGAACTCCAGACTTCTTGATGCTAGCCGGCCGTGCCTTTCGATTACAGCACAAAGAACATGCGGTAAGGAAGGAGAAAGTTCCTTACAATAATATTTTGCATGCTAGTTTCTAATAGTAAAGAGAAGAAGTTTATAAAATGAAACATATTCTTTTTTTTAGAAAGTATGGTAACTTAACAGTTTACCATACTTCAGTTTAAAAAAAAAAAAAAAAATTGAGTTAAATGAGATCGATGGATGAATTTTCAAAGTAATCGGTATTTTTATTCTTAGTTTCGCCCCCAGAAAGATCAGAATGAGTAATGCGGGTAGTTTTTCTTTTCTTTCCCCTTTAGTAAGTTCTGCTATACACTAGTAAAAAAGGCAAAAATCCTTAACTATTTAAAGTATAAGTATATTCAGTGTTTTCACAAGCATTTTTATTTTAGGGAAACTATCTCGGATGGAAGAGCTGAAGCTCAAGCGCAACAGCCAAAGAGCCAAACTTAAACACTTAGAAGAAGCTCTGGAAGAAAATAATGCAAATTTTAAGGTCAGAATGAAAGAAGACGAATTAAATATTTTGAGCGATTTCTTGAATAATAAAAGGACATTCTTTTGCTTGTCAGATTCTATAAAAAAATCTTGCGATGAGATCTTTGAGCTTCACCTCCCCGTCTATGCCAAGAATCAACTAAAAGAGAATGTTCGGCTCCGAAGCCAGTGCGAACGGGCCTCGCTGGGATTACTGAAAGCCCAGGAGCGTAGTCGAAACCTGAAGAACTTGAAAAAGACTTTGGAATTTGAGCATGAGACGCAAACCTTTTCCGAGACTAAGGCTAGGTCTCTGGGCTATCTGTACGGCAGAAAGCTGCAATCTCTCAAACGAGAAGCGGTGGAACTAGAAGAAGAGGAAGACATCAAGTCTCCGAATGAACAGAGATCTGCCATCAAGGACTCGGAAGCAGCTCTATGGCAAGTAAGAGCGGAACTCCAAGATGTGGAACAGATTTTGTTTGATCAAGGAAATGATCATAAGGTTCTCCTTCAACGGATTGAAGAGCAAAGGGAAAAGAATGGGTTATTAGTCTCCCTGATCATCAGGGCAGCTAACATCTTCCACAGTAAAATGAACCAAGTGATTGCCACTGATGAATCATGCATGGACTACGAAGTTCTGCATCAAATGCGAATGATTCTCGAAATCCCTTTAGGGGAAAATGTGCTAGTCTCCGAAAAAGGTAAACTTTGGAAGTGAACCTAACTTCATTAAAAACTTCATTAAAAGGTGCTTTATAAATGATTGAAAATAAAACTATTTTGTTGAAATTTTCTTGAGGACTTTCCGTTCAAAATAATTTTCTCTGTTATTATATTAAGAAATTTATTCGTTTTCAGCACTTCAAAACTTACTAACTGACTGAATAATAGCAATTAAAAATAATTAACTTAATTCTAAGTATGTTGAAGGCTATTGCTTAATTTAGGATCAGCGATAGATTAAAAGCGCAGGTGCAAATATTAAAGTGTGAGGACGTTATGGATTAGAAAAATGATAAAACTTTGGACGAAAATAATGCGTTTGTAGTAAGGGCAAAATATATGCTTGAAGGAGTTCATATCAGTAAAAAGTGAATAAAAATAAAGGAATACAAACCTTAACATATTCGAAATTTGCAACATAGATAAGATGGCAAAAATGAGAAAGGGAAAAAAATAATCGCAGAATTAGCTCGCTAATTTATTTTATCAGGGAAAGCATATACTTGACATGTAATCAGAGACCTGCAATTTGGTTTCTAGAATAAATGTACGATCTAATTGTAGAATTACTTATTTTGCGCTATATGCAAACTTGTATTATTCACCTAATCTAATTATATGAAATAATTTAATTCCACCAATTTTCATTACTATTTTACTTAACTTCAAATTCCATTTAGAGAGTATTAAATTTAGACATAAAAATTGCAATAGATATATAGTAACATTGTAATAAATTTATAACATTATAATAACATTGTGCAGTATCTATTTGATACGGAAATGAAAATAATACGGAAAATCTTTTTTTCATATTCAAATTTCATCTACTGGATTTCAAATGCTGAATGAATACCGATGGTTGCTTCACAAGTTCGATGTATCCCCCCTCATCCGATGACCTGTGGTCGGCTGCTTTGTGCCGGGGCGTGGTGGCAGTTGCAGCAACAGGAATACTCAAAGAGGTCAAAGAAGGTCCCGGTGTCCGGGGAGGCTGGGTCCCAGGCCAAGAGGGTGTGGTGGCAGTGCCGAGTCTCGCAGCCAGACGAACCTCCTCTTCGGGAGTAACCGTAGTTACGGCACACATCACTTGGTATGCTACTCAGAAAGAAGAAGAGAGGGTTATCTTGCTTAGTATACACAATAAAAAAGTTTAATTACATTAGAAACTACATTAGAATCGAACTTTACGAAACAAAGAATGATATTGTTTTCATAGCTGAGACTTCGTACGTAGGGTAATTTGTAAGATGGACGTGCGTTTAACACTGGTTATGGAATATCAGGAATTATAAAAACCTCACAATCATCGTAAATTAGCAATTTATATATTGCTCGTTATCGTTTCACTTGCAACTTTCAAATTCAGACTGCACCCATCTTCTTAAACCGCTGGTGGCCAACGCGGGACCGTCAGGGCCCATTAATGATTCCATCATGAATCGTATAACTGAAAAGTGAATGAAAAAAAAATAAGCGCATGCGAAAATGAATCTGAAATTGAGACCGGTTGAGTGGTTTTTACTTGATATGATTACTTACTTAAAAAACTGAATATTTCCTTTATCCAAAAGCAGCTAAGATATGAAGTTTCAAGGAATGACAGTATCCAAAACAAACTAAAATTGTACAATTTGACATTAACAGCAAAAAATTATTTCACTTTGGAATTTCTTGATTCACCAGTGGGATAGGCAATAAAACAATCTGCACCGGTTATTCGACCTTAGTTCGAATCCCAGTGAATTAGTTGGGTTTTTCTTCATGTGGAACATGAATACGAGCTAGTTTCCTTCATCAAATTCCGATTCCTTAAATTAGGAACTCATACATTGCCATATTTTTTAAACAAACAAAGGAATCCAACTCTATCTGACAAAGTTATATGAAAAAAAATATGGTATTATTTGCCATTTTGTCAAAGCGGCTTAAAATCAGATTCCTAGATTTCAGAAAGTACTAATTGGATATCAGTGTGCTTGATATATTCCATTCCTTAAATAGCAATAAACTTACACGCGAACTAAAAAACAGAAGGTTAAGAATTGCAATAAGAATATCGTAACGAAAAAAAATTATTTCATAAATCTTACTTTATAGTGTTATCTACCTAAAGAAAAAAAGATTCGAGCTTTTAAGAGCATTTTCTATTGACGACGTTTTCTTTTGAAAGCAGAAATATTTTTTAAATACTTTTTTTTTTATCGTATGAAGCTTACAAAAGGTAAAATTTAATGCGAGCATCATAAATACACTCTTCTTAGACATTATCACGTTTCTTAAATTAGACACAGACGCATCGCTAGACTTAGTGTAAATAGACCTAATGTTCTTGCGAATTATGCTAAGTTCATTACTTTTTCGTAATAAGTATCTTTCCCATTAAAAGGTAAACCTAATTTAATCAGACTCAATAATAATGTAGGTTGTATTATAGGAAATTAAAAGACATTATTCCATCTAGATATAATATTAATATAGTGGAAAAGCATGCCTTTTCTTCTAGCACACGTTCTTTATTCTGACAGAAGTTTCTGGCATCAGCTATGACAATCGGCAATGTATTGCATTTTATGCATTTAAACATAGCTGTTTTGAGTTATTGCCCTTAAGGCGGAGAATTTTGATTTGATTTGATTTATTTTTATTTTAACGCGTTATGCATTATCGAAATCTTGTATTGCTTATTTACAGCAATTACAGAGTTATGAGAGGAAGAGGAAATATCTTTTTATAAATTCCATTTGTGGCATTCTGATATCTTAAAAAAACTTTAAATCATAATTTAAATTCAGTTATAAAATTTAATAAAATTGTGTTTATTCAGGGAATAATTAGCCATACTTTTATTAATTTTTGCTTTATTTATCTAGTTCTGAATAAATGCTGCATATATTGCTTGGAAGTAATTAAGCGGTTAACTAGTTTAATCTGTAACAGATATGATTAAATGGCGAAATTTGCATTACATTGTCCCTTTTCCAAATGGTTTATCGTAAAAACTGAAAAGTTTATGATTGAAAAAATTATCAGCATTGAGTATTTGAAAGTTTTAAATCGTAATTTTCATGCATATTAAAGGAAGACACTCTTTAAAAAGGCAACCTAAAAGTGCACGTATACATTTTTTCAAAATTAAAGATTAATAAACTTATCTACAAATGTGAAGAAAATTCAATTTTCCTACAGTGATATAAAAGACGATACAAAGTTTATTTTTGATTGAAAAGGAATATGTCACAATACAGAATTCGAAATGCATATTTATGGGTATCCATAGAGGGAGGGAAAAAACATTTGAGAGAAAAATGTGTTTTTGCATTAATGCATATATAGTGTATTTGTGTTTCCCCATTGTTACAATACTATATTTTATAATTTACTTGTGAACTCTCCAAAATAAATAATAAAATAAAGTTACTGATGTAATTACTAGCTTCCAAGCTTTCTCTCCTTCTTGAAAATTTTCTTTGGACATCCATGTATACGTTTCATTAGAGCGAAACATCTACAGACATGTATGTAGTATTATATAGAAAAATAAATCTTTAGGCTTCTGAAGACACTAGCTTAATGCCACCGTCCTGCACTGCATTTATGAAGAATTATTCTATAACTGCTAAGCATACAATGTTTTAACTGGTAAAGCAGTGCTTATATTTTAAATGTGTAAAATGCTTAACACTAGAAAGACTGAAACTTAGTACATACCTATATTGCCTAATAAGCAGTCAAAATGACTGCATTGTGAAAGAATAACTAATGTGTAAAGAAATTTGTTTAAAATTAATTTTTAACATTTTTTATATTATTTACAGTTATATAACAAGTCATTAGTAATTATTAACAATAAAAAAATTACTTCACTTGGAAAAAAATAATTCATGCATTACTATTTGTAAGTTATTGCACATGAAAGTGGAAATCTTTTTTCCAAATGAAAGTGGAACAAATTTTGCGTTTTTTAGAATGGGTTGCATTTGATGATGTTGCAGTTGATCTTTGTGGGATATTCTGATGACTTTTTTTGTCTTGCAGCTCTGTATTCAGTGGAAAGCTGTTCTGCTAATTGAAACAAGAACTTTCCTCGTTGTATTTGTATTCCTGTCGTTTCTTTGTAAAGGATCCAAGCATTTATAGCAGACAAACCTAAAATATTGAAAAATATTTGGAGGGGCCATCTACGAGAACTAGCTTTTACTTTATATTTTCTGGCCATTTGATCAGTCATATCAACTCCAAATTTTGTGGAGTTATCCGAATGGGACGAAATTCGGTAAATGTGATGTACATGTACAGAAAAACAAATGATTACAGTTTGAGAAAAATTGGATGATTTAATTGAAGTGATAGAGCTTCACAAAGTGAAAAAATCAGTAACGCGTTTGTCCACCTCTGACCTTTATGCAAGCAGTTATTCGGCTTGACATCTATTGATAGAGGTTGTGAATGTCCTCCTCAGGGATATCGTACCAAATTCTGTCCAACTGGCGCGTTAGATCGTCAACATCCCGAGCCGGTGGCGTGACATGAAGGGCAACACAACGGGCCTTAGAACTTCGTCGACGTACTGCTGTGCTGTAAGGTTGTGACGGGTGACAACCAAAGGGGTCCTACTATGAAATGAAATGGCCCCCCAGACCATCACTCCTGGTCTGCCGGAGGACAGTCCGGTTGGGGCGACTACAGACTCGCCTTCACTGGTTATCGGGGCTCAGTTCAAATTGGGACAATCAATGAAGACTATTCTATTCCAGTCAGTGACATTCCAGTGCGAATTAGCCCGACACTACTGCAAACGGGGTTGATGTTGTACAGAGGTCAAAGACAGTCGGCGCAAGGGGCGGCGTGACCTCAGCCCCCTTTCTGTGAGCCGTCTATGAATAGTCTTTGTGGTCACGGAAGCACTAGTTGCACGTACAATCGATGATAATGATGCATCTGGGGCTGTGAATGCCGCTCTGACGATTGCTCGGTTTTCACGATTTGTCGTTTCTCTAGACCTACCGCTTCCTTCTTGACACTGTGTGCGGCCATGGTTCACCCATTCCTGCCAATATCGTCTA